GGATATGGTTAATTAAAATGCAGTCTAAACATTTACACAATGAGAACAAAGGAGGATATTCTCAGGAGAGGATCACAAAGGCTCAATAGCTATGTGCATATGAACATATAAAATGATGCTTATTGAAACGAACTCCAAGAAATGTAAGTGAGAGTTGTTTTTTGTATTGTTGTACTGCTTGCACTTCTTTTTCTTATTTTATTTTATTTTCTTGTAAAGAGGCTGTACAGAGAGGTTACAGTTACATTAGTAAGGTAATGAGTACATATAATGTCAGGCATTATTACTGTGTTTCTTTTTCTTTCTTTCCTTTTTTTCCTTTGCTTTACTCCCTTCTGTTGCTGATTTTATTTCAGTACCTTTTGTTTTGTATATAAGTTTATTTGATTTGGGGAGGGGAAGGAAAAACACAGAAATTGTGGGACAAAAGGTGAACCATTTCAGCAGTGAAACCCACTAGACTGTATGTTGGGAATGAATTATACAACTTGGGGTGTAGGGAAGTGGGGAGGGGAAAACTGGGAAAAAAGGATGGAGGGGGATGACACTGTTCAATTTATATATATCTGTATATCAACTTTACGATAAATTTTAAAAATAAAAATAATAAATTTTGGCTGGTGCTTCACCACTTGAAGTATGCTTCCAGTCTAGCTTTTTTGTTGACTAATTGGAAATGGAATCTTGAAAACTTAGAGGCCCAGACCAGATTCAAACTGTGATCTTCTAGATGTCAGCCTCCCTGAGTAGCTAAAATTACATGTGTGAACCACTGGAGCCCAGCCTAATGCCATTAAAAAAAAGTTTTTGTTTATATTTTTGTTTATGTGGTACCAAAGAAATGAACCTAGGGCCTCATGCAGTCTAGGCTTGCACTCTACCACTAAGCCACATTCCCAGCCCCCTAATGCTATTTTTGAACAATGTTACAGAGGTTAATTTTCTATGTGTGCTAGTACCATGAACTCAGGTCCTGGGCACTATTCCTTAGGTTTTGCTCAAGGCTAGAACTCTACCAACTGAACCACAGCTCTTGTTCCAGCTTTTACTTTTTGGCAGTTAATTGGAGGTCAGAGTCTCATGGACTTTCCTGCCAGGTTTGGCAGGAAAACTGTGATCATCAGCTCTTAGCTTCTTTATTAGCTAGAATTACAGATGTTGAGCCACCGGCACCTGGCTCAGATGTTAATTTTTATAAAATAAATTACAAATTGAAATTTTCTTTTTTTGGGGGGGGGTCTGATCATGGGGCCTGAACTCTGGGCCTGGGAACTGTCCCTCAGCTTTTCAGCTCAAGGCTATCGCTCTACCACTTGAGCCACAGCGCCACTTCCAGCTTTTTTCTTTTTGCTTATGTGGTGCTGAGGAATCGAACCCAGGGCCTCAGGCATGCAAGGCAAGCACTCTACCACTGAGCCACCTTCCCAGCCCCCAAACTGAAATTTTCTTGAATGGTAAGATTAGTGCTAAATGTTTAATGATGCCAAAGTCCTTTAAAAACTTTATACTTTATACTGAGTTTATAGATTATAGCACTACCATTAATATACAAGAATCAAAATTCTTGTCACTATAACTATAACCTTTGCTATATTGGATAGCAATTTCTTTCCAAACTCAGAGATGAAGACAGCATGATATTCACAAATATAAAATATTAACATGGTGTAAAACTATGGAGTAGCTGGCATATGAATTCTACACATCTTTTGAGCACAGCTAGTAACAGGATCAACCTACTACCAAAGTGATAAGATGCTTATCTGAGGAAAAAGACAGAACTCAATTAACTTTAAACACTGAGATAACATCTTTTATTACCAGTTTCTGGTATCTAATCTTTTATTGGGCTTTTGTGTTAATATTTGAATTTTTCATCTACTCCTAAATTCAGTGCACTCTGAACTAAATTGGATTTGCTTTTTTGAAGGAAAAGTACATGAAATGGCCAGACATGCATTGTCTCTGGAGGAATTTCTCAGTACAAATGAAAATATATTCTGTTGATGCTGCTACAAAATCATCTGAGAGCATTCAAGCTCTACTGAGCACTTGGAGAAGTGGAACACTCTGGTGTTGGGTTGAGAATACTTGAAGGCAAGAGAATGATGTAAAGGAATAATAATTATGGCAACATAGACCTGAGCAGATACAATGGTAGTAGGATGCAATACTCAGATTCTGTACATATAATGAGTGTCAAACCAACAATATTTGCTGATGTCAGTTACATGGGAAGTGAGAAAAAAGGAAGAATAAAGAATAACTCCAAGATTCCTGGATAGAGGTCAAAAGAAATTCTTTAGAAAATGGGTATAATGATAGTGTATTTTTGTGATGATGGTGAAGATATAGAGGAAATGGTGACATTACTAAAAGTAGAAGTCTGAGTCAAGACAATTGCTGGAATTATGTATTCAAAAGACAAAATGGAGCTGATGGCTCATGCCTGTAATCATAGCTACTGAGGTGGCTGAGATCTGAGGATCACAGTTTAAAGCCAGCCTGGGCAGGAAAGTCCATGAGACTCTACAGAGCGGCTCAGGGACAGAGCTCAGGCCCAGAATTCAAGCCCCACGACTGGCAAAAAAAAAAAAAAGACAAAATGAGGTCTTGTGCATGAGGAAGAGAGTTGATTATTGCAAAGCAACTGTTCATACACAGGAACAGAAAACAATCAGAGGAGCAGGATAGAGACTCAGATAGAGATAGGCCAGTAAATGGGAAAGTACTCTTTTCATGGCTTCAAAAAAATTTTTAGTGGCATAAGATACAAGTTGATAGTAGAATTGTAGGAGGTATTGGAGGTCTATAGTATTGTATAATAGTAATTCAGTAGTACAATAAATAGCTAAGATAACATAATATGTTTCAAGAGTAGCATTAAGATTCATCTCAGGATTGTGGTTATAAATGTAAATTGAGACCAGTCAGTATAGCTTAAGTGTTTTTCTGTGATTTCAGCTATGTGAGGTAGAGACACAATTTATTGGGAAGTAGATTTCAACCAGAGCTGGATTTTTTTAGGTTATTACTATCTTCCAGAGTTGGATTTTGCCAACTAGTATATACAACTTTCCAAATTCATAGCTTCTGCTATGAATGGATACAAATAAATTCAGAAGCCTGGCACCGGTGGCTCACACCTGTAATCCTAGCTACTCAGGAGGCTGAGATCTGAGGATCATGGTTCAAAGCCAGCCCAGGCAGGGAAGTCCGTAAGACTGTTAACTCCAATAAACCACTAGAAAACCGGAAGTGGTGCTGTGGCTCAAGTGGTACAGCCCTTGCCTTGAGCTGAAGAGCACAGGGATAATGCCCAAGACCAGAGTTCAAGCCCCATGACTGACAAAAAAATAAAAATAAATAAATAAATAAATTCAGATTACAAACTCTGACATAAAAAAATAAAAATAAATAAATAAATGCAGATTACAAACCCTGACATCTCTCTTGAACATATATACAGGCTTTCATTTTCTTGCAATAATTCCCTCCAAAATATCAGATACGAACCACTGATATATCATTTACATTGAATTAGATATTGTAAATAATCTACAGATGATTTAAAATGTCTAAGAGGATACATATAAGTTATATGCAAAAGCAACAGCATTTTACATAGAGGACTTGTGCATGTGTAGATTTTGGTATTTGTTGGAAGATCTTAGAATCAATTTCCCATGACTACCCCAGGAATGACTCTGTAACAAAGAGATTGAACAGCCAAAGAAATTGAGTTGTATACATGGGAGTGACCACAGAGTTAGTAAGGAGAAAAGTGAGGGTAGGGGCAGGGGCAGTAAAGAACTGTTTAAAGATGTCAGGATCAGGCTACTGAATTATAGGTAATTCCCTATTCAATAACACTTTGATGCTTTTGCTCTGCAAAAGCATGTTTTGTATCCTTTATAGATCAGTGTTAAAAGATGATAGAAAACAGGAACATATGACTTGGCATGAAGCCTAGCATGGTATTATGCATGATTAGAACTTTAAACATACCTGGTCATGAAATTCAGCTGTGTCATTTTTCAATCCAGCATACACATATGCATATAAATGTAACATGGGAGGGGGCACCTTTGGGCAATGACTACAGTTACTTTTGTATAGTGTGTGTGTGTGTGTGTGTGTGTGTGTGTGTGTGCGCGCGCGCGCATGCGCGCGTGTGCTGGTCCCAGGACTTGAATTCAGGGCCTTTAGCTTTTTTTGCTCAAGGGAGGTTCTACTACTTTAGCCACAGCTCCGCTTCCAGCTTTTTTTGGGGCAGTTAATTGGAGAGCAGAGTCTCATAGACTTTCCTGCCCTGTTGGCTTCAAACCACATGCCACAGATCAGCTTCCTGAGTAGCTAGGATTACAGGCAAGAGCCACTGGTGCCCAGCTATTTTGGAGTTTATGAAGGTTTTTTTTTCCTCTGTACTTTTTAATTCTTAAATTTCCCTAATTGAGCATTAAATGTTTTTGTTTTTGTTTTGTTTTGTTTTTTTTGGGTCCAGTTGTGGGGCCTGAACTCTGGGTCTGGACACTGTCCCTCAGCTCTTCAGCTCAAGGCTAGCACTCTACCACTTGAGCCACAGCGCCACTTTGGCTTTTTTCTTTTTGCTTATGTGGTGCTGAGGAATCGAACCCAGGGCCTCAGGCATGCAAGGCAAGCACTCTACCACTGAGCCACCTTCCCAGCCCTAAATGTTTTTATAATTTAAAAATGTTTTTTAAAAGGACTTATGTATTTACACCCACTTGTAATTAAATACTAGCTGTGTTCTTGGCTGAAGTTTTAAAGACTTAGTCAGGCAGAATTAAGTTACTTGACAAGTGATAGGAAATAAAAGATTTGAGAAGATGGAAGTTGACATATTTTTTTAAATGACCAGATAGACATAGACATAGATTTTGGTCTAGCAACTAAAGTATAATAAAATGCCTGACAATGAAATTATCATTAAAATATTAAAAATATTTTAACTTTGGAAAAAAGGAATATTGACAAACCTGCTTCCTGCTTTGAGCTCTTGCATTCCGTAGTCTTCGTGCAGAATAAAAGATAAAATAGCCCACAGTTGCTGCAGTAATAATGAAAAAGGACACGGAAACGAAGAAAATTGAATAGTGATTCACCCAAGGGCCATGTTTTTTCCCTACTTCGATGACCATTGTTACTTGGATGCCTCTTTGAATAGAATGTAGAATTTTTGTTCCTTTTAGATTGCCAATCATGATTGCAACAATGTCTCCTGCACCTGTAAAAGAAAGTGAATCCAGTTTTACTTTAATATTCTTAATTTAAAATCCAATTGTTAACCCAATTTACAATGAGACCAAATGAGGCAAAAGGATATACCTTCATTCAATGAGCATTTATCAGATACCTACTACAGGAGATATAAATGTGCATGAAACTGGGTTTCTGATCCGTAGAAGCTCATAATTGAGTAAAAAATCTATTATTCCCATGTTTTCACTGTATTGGATGTTGGTATAATTTGAGGAGGGGAAGGGAAAAAGCTTGTTTAAATAGGGACACAGGTCGACCCATTGCAACAATGAGATGTACAAGATGTTATGTTGAAAAATGAACTTTACAACTTTGGCGGGATGGGGGGGAGATGGGAGGGGAGGGCAGGGATGGTAAGGGGAAACAAAGGAGGAGGTAACAATGCTTGATAAGAAATATACTCATTACTTTGCTCATGTAATTGTAACCCCTCTGTGTATGGTATTTTCATAATAAAAAACTTATTAATAGAAAAAAATAAAAAAGAATCTATTATGTAAAATAGATACCTCCCCTCTATTCAGATTAATTACCAGTCACTCAACAATATTGCCTTTGGGCAGTACAATGAAGGCTTGCTTATTGACAAATAGTACCTTGGATGATAGAAAATAGAACTTAAATCTTAGGGAATCTGAGATTTGGGAAACAGAAAAACATGTAGCTATATATTTTCCAGTTTATAAGGTGATGGGTTATCATATGCACCCACTACTCACAAGTACAAGTATTAAAGTATCAGGATAGTAATCTGAGACAACACAAATGTCCCATTTTTCTTTTTTTTTCTAGCTTTATTTTTTTAATTTTATTTTATTTGTGAACGTGCTGTACAGAGGAGTTACAATTACATGGGCAGGATAATGCATACATTTCTTACCAAGCATTGCAGCCTCCTCCTTTGTTTACCCTTCACATCCCTTCCCAGCCTCCCCCCTCCCCCCCAATCCCAATCCTTCTCCTTCCCCCCCTTCCCCCCCCCCCCCGCACCGACGTTGTAAAGCTCGTTTTGGACATGACAACTTGTACTTCTCATTGTTGCAACAGGTCCACCTGTAAAATGTTCCATTTTTCTATATCTTCAAAAGCAATGTAGAGGTTGTTCAAGATACTTGGGAAGAGGAAGATCAAGGAGATGGTGGCAGGGGAGGGACAAGGGAGGGAAATGATTATGATTGAATATGATTAAAGTAGATTTTAATACATGTGTGAGAATGTTGTAATGGGTCATGTTATTTTTACAATTAATATATGCTATTAAAAATTAAAGAATGAAAAATTTGTTCAAGGTGCTCTGTGTTTTACATAGATCTGATCAGGTTAGCAATTGATAGAAAGGTATTTTTCTGCCTAGGGGTTATAGCTAAGAGGTAGAGCAGTTATCTAGCATTTTCAGGGCCATGGGTTTGATTCCCAGCACTACAAAGAATAAACAAAAACAGAAATATTCAATTAAGGACAAGCATGAAATCAGACTAATTTTATTACTACAAGTCCAATGTCTATAATAACATCTTTTTGTTCCCAAATATATGCTTTTCTTGGAAAAATGACATTGTTCCCAATGCTCTGAGACTATCATATTGTTCATTCCATTCCAATGCTTATCAAGACTTATATTCCTCCTACTTTATATGACTCAAGATCAATACACTTAGGCAAATAATAGAGCTCTTTGAATGCTAAGGTATTGCCAGCCTGAGAAACTTCCCATTGGTATTAGGTTTAAACCCGAATCTAGGTTAATGATCAAACTCTGATCTGCAATAAGCAACCACACACAAACAAGAATCTAAAAAGACCTTTAGACAAGAATTTAAACATAAAAGTACAATTCTAAAATACTATTGATATTTCCAAAGATCAAATTAAGGGTATAAATCTTAAATGCTAATATACATTGTAGAATTTCTGTATAAGTAATTGCTTATAGTCAAAATAGTCAAAATCTTCAATAGTCAAAATCTTCAAAAGATCAGGCCACAAAGAAATATCTCATAGTACATATTTTTGATCTTCTTCTTACTTGGAGTTATTATTTTCCATATATATATATATATATATATATATTTAAGGGGTCTCATTTATAGATCCTTAAAGACTATTTTTACATATGGAGCCATTTAGTTAAACTCTCTTCTAACTCTACTAATTTGTGATCATTCAGTGTGATAGCAGTTAATGATGCTCTTCTTTCATTTACACGGGAAAAAAATTCAAAAGCAGTGGGAAGTGGAGTCTGAAATATAGGTATCTCCTAGTTGATCTTCTCAATGTGAATATATGACCTAAATGTTTCTGATGGGTCTGGAGAACTGGTCATTTTGCAAGAGGGTGACTTTTTTTCAATTTATGGGCTTTACATTTCTAGCTATGACACTTCAAGCACAGACATTATTTATCTTTATTACTGCAGACATTATTTGCCTTTGTTACTATATGCCACTTTTCAAGATAAGGTGTAGTTATAGAGTTGTAATTAGGGTTTGGGGAGTGACTCCATTGATAGAGCAACTGTCTAGTACATCTGAGTTCATACTTCAGCTTGCACACACACACAAACACACACACACACACACACACACACAAACTAGCAGGAGGCTGAATAGCTGAGATCTAAGGTTGATATTTGAGGCTAGTTCAGGAAGACAAATCTAGGAGAAGCCATCTTCAATTAACTAGCAAAAATTTATAGGTCTAACTCAAGTGGTAGAGTGCCAGCTATGAGTAAAAAAGCCAGGCAGAGTGCAATGCTCTGAGTTCAAGCTCCAATACTGGCACAAAAAAGAGAAAAACATATACCCAATATATCAAGCTTTTAATTTTTGATACTATAAGCTGTATAATACTTGAACACAGATAATTATAAAATTGGAGCTTTGGAATATGCAACATTTTTAAGTATTTCTTTTTTTTTTACTCTGTGGATATTTATTCTACTTCAAGTAACAAAACCTACGAAGTCCTGTGTTGTAATGTACAGTGATATAACACTCTGCAATACAAAATACAATGTACAGAAATTTCTATCAAGTAAACCTAAAGAAACACACTTGATTTTTACACTTGGGTATTTAAATTAGAAAAATTTGCTTTATACGTAAAAAAATCTGTGCATCATATTAGATGTTGCAACTTTCACTCACTTCAATGTTATTTAGCTACTGACACTTGGCGTGTATCACCAGACAGTCCAAAGCGCTGTCAATGTTTTCTCAACTGAAAATCTGTGCTATAAAGTGAAAAATCTGTAGTGATGTACAATGGAATAAAAGACCTCAAAGAACAAATGAAATTTTTAAAGTATTTCTTAAGTCACAGATATGGCCTTCAGATATGTTTTTGCTTAAGAGAAACTAGGTTTTCCTTCTTTTACAAGATATGAGGTGGGTGGCAGGGGAATATATTGACCATTGTGGTAAGAGATTACAACAAGGCAAGTCAAGAAATGTGCATTGTTTACATAGCAGGAACAGTGCTGTATTATCTCTCCACAATCCATATTCATACATGCTATATGTAGTCTAACAATAAAAACATGTCTTACTTATGTAACTGCAACCCCCCAACACATAACCTTTTCAATTAAAAAAGAAAATTAAAAAAACCCAAAGAATCATCTTTCTAATCATATAAAAGATGTATTTTCAAGTATTAGGATATAGCTACTCCCCTTCCCAAACCCTTGCAGTACTGCTCCCTTCCAGTGATCCCAGTCAGTTAATAACACCAAAAGCCTTTTGATCACCTGTTTTAGTAAGCACAGAATCATAAGAGTTTTCTTTTGTTTATATTTATTTGTGCATATACAATGGCTTGACCTCAGAGCCTCTACCACACCTCCAGTTCTGACTTTTTTGGCTGGTTAATTGGAGCTAAAAGTCTGTTGAACATTTCTCATGGGCTGGCTCTAAAACCATGATCCTTAGATCTCAGATCTTCAGATACTCTTGAGTATCTGGTGCTGGGCTCAGAATCATGTTTGATTTTTTCATTGCTCACCTACCCACTCATAGTGATGCTATTTATTTTCTTTCTGTCTCCCATTACCAGAACCTTCTTTCTGTTCCAGTGGCATTAGTATTAGCTTTTAAAATTCCTTTGCCTAAACTATTCCAGTAACCTCAAGTAACACCTTGGTCACCATATCTCCACTATACTTGAAGTTTTGTTTATCAAATACCTTCAAGTCCAATATCCTTAAACATAGCCTCTTAAAGTTTCAGCAAAGTTTACCTTCCTATTTGCCTATTTCCATCATTTGCTTGGATCATGCTTCAACTTTGTTCAGAAACAAGATCTGACTCGTTAGCCTAGCGTGTCAAGCCTTAGATGATCTGGTCTTGACTGACTTTTGTAGCTTGGTTTATCTTCCTATATCCCCACTTCATGAATAGTGTAGTTTACTCATATCGTACTATCTATTGTAAATTACTACTCATAAACATTCTGTTCCTTCTCCTCCCTTAGCTTAAAATGTCTTGCATCTGTTCTGACAATCCTCCCTTCTTTGGTTACCTATGTTTTACTGAATATCCACCTCAAATGTTGCCCCTTAAAAATTTGGACTAATAGACAAAAAGTTTGAAAAATTGATTTGGAAAGTATGAGGTAGATTCCAAGGGTGGATACTCAAAAACATACTCACCATTATAGTTAGATGAAGTTTTAACCTAGGAAAGTCAAGTAATGTAGAATTCCCACCTTTTAAGCGAGAAAGTAAATGCTTGCTCTTTGTTACTTGTTACTTGTTTTTTGCAAGGACCTCCCTTCCCCTGGTCCTAGGACTTGACCTCAGGACCTGGGTGCTATCCCTTGGCTTTTTTACTCAAGGTGGCACTCTACTGGTTGAGCCACAGCTTTACTTTTAGTCTTTGTGTGGTTAATTGAGGTAAGAGTCTCAAAGACTTTCCTCCCTAGGCTGGCTTTAAACAGTGGTCCTCAGTTATTAGCCTCTTGAATAGC